AAAGTTTGGTGACAGTGATAGATGATCCTATTTAGAGGTGAAACAACATCTTTGTTTTGGATGTCACCGGTAAGTTACACATTTTACCAGGCAATACCGTCTCAGATAACTACAATGCAATCTTTACCAAAACCTGCAAACTGCATTTCAGGGTTTTTTGTAGACCATTGCATAATTGGGATTGAAGAATTGATTCTTGGCACATAAATAAGATCATTATTTATATGGGGTAAGGTATTTTCAAGTGAAAAGGTGAAGTCACACGTCATTGATGTTAGAGATCAAGTTGAGTAGCAAGGCTCATTTTGTCAAATGTAAAGTCATCAAGTGTGAGACTCCAGTCTGACCCGGGTCCAGTCATGTACCTTTAGTCGACAACACAGCTGGTGGAAGAACTCACAACCTCACAATTTCAATCATAGTCCTAAATTCTTTATTTATTTTCAGAGTTAGTTGCTGACTCACTACACACATTGCAGCAGGTGTGCTCTCCGATGTTTCTCTCTCTCTCCCACACACACTAATGGTTACCTGAGCTGTAGTGAAAGGCCAAGTGTGTTTTTACAGCTGTCTACGTAATGAGCTCTTTGGGGGCCTGTCAAGTCAACGGTTAGCTAACGTCTCAAATTGTATGTGTGTTTGTGTATGTAAGTGTGTGTGTGTGTGTGTGTGTGTGTGTGTGTGTGTGTGTGTGTGTGTGTGTGTGTGTGTGTGTGTGTGTGCTGTGTGTTGGTCGAGGTTAGGTAATGTCTCTCTGCGTACCACCTCCCATTCCTGACAGATTCAATGTCATCATGACTGAAATTACACAACCTGACGTGGGAATCAATGTGACAGACAGCTGAGGGAAAGCATGAAATATAAATGTTATTAAATTACTCAGAGTGTGTAACTTTTCTGCCTGGAGATCCGTACATTTTAAACATACATAAAAGAGATGAAGAGATAAGATGGAAAAGGAACTGATCTGTATTGCAAAGTTGTTATATTAATAAGTGGTGTTAACGCTTCAGGGGTACAATTTCCACTGCTGTCGATCTTAATACAAATGTAAGTAGTTATTGACATAAGAATTAACTTGAGTAAGGAGTTCATTTTGAGAGGTTTTAAAAGAAGAAAAAAGCATGTGAAGAGTCACTGACGTTTGCTTTCTGTTAATCAGATGACTCAGTAAATAATAAGTTCATAAAACACAAATGTTATTGTTTTCAAAGGTGTTATCTTCAGCAAAACACTGTCTGATTGGTGAACTCTGAAGTGAGTTAGCAAACTTGCATTGACAAAGCAAAGGTATTTAATGATAGCTTTTCACTAATCAAGAGTGATGCAAGGCAATAGCATGGATATAAAATAACTCCATACAGTGTTGGAGGTGGGCTACTGTTCATTATTATGAAAGCTGGTCAATTGTTTGACTGCCGAGTGATAAATGTACCTGTTACTTCTGTTGGTCATCCGTGTCTTTTCACCTGAAAGGAGGAACATAAGTGACAATGGTTTGGACCTTTAACATTTTTTACAACTTTAACATCTTAGCTATCTCCAAGCAAATTAGGTTTCCCTAATGGGAAGTTGATTTAGCAAAAAAAGATCCACTGAAAAGATCCACTGATTGACTATTTGCCAATTTAAGTTTTCAATTTTTTTTGTCCAATAACATCACAGCACAGCATGGACGTTTGTATTGCATGGTGTGGCCTCTACGAAAATTGGCTTTGAAGCGCGGTGCTCTTCCCGGAGGCTTGTGCAGTGGCAGCTAATGTAAGTAGCTAAATGAGGGTTAGCTAGGTGGCTTTTACCAACATGGTAAATGGACTGTACTTATATAGCGCTTTATCCAGTCTTTACAACCCCTCAAAGTGCTTTTACATACTACATGTCATTCACCAATTCCTACAGAGCAGTGTACCTTACTCTAGGAACTAACATTCACACACCGTTGGCCATCGGGAGCAACTCAGGGTTAAGTATCTTGCCCAAGGATACATCGACATGTTGGCTGCACGGGCTGGGATCGAACCCACAACCTTCTGGTTGAAAGACGACCGCACTCCCTCGTAGCCACAATCGCTGGTTGCTTTGGTAAACTAGCTGGTTATGTAGGCTAATTTGAGAAGAGCAAGCGAGTTGGTATCACAGAGCCAATGGTTTGAATAAAGTATTCATAGGCATTACAGATAGTAACGTTAATAAAAAAATGTGTTGTTGCAATGTCACGGCACTGCCAACCTCCAAAGATACTGAATGCTGTTCATTTAACCCCCTTCTTTGTAAGGTTATTTGTCGAATGAGACCCAACACTAACTGACAATCTCCTCTCACCCATGTGCAGGCGCACAGTCAGCAGAAAGCTGTCCTGGTCCTACGGGTGTAGCTATTACTCCATTACAGTCCATCACAGCTACTCAATCCACTTCATCAGCCAATCAGCCTTACAGTGTTCATGTGGAAAGAGGGAGAGGTGTTACATCCTGGTCGTTAATGACTCTGAGAAATTAAATAAATCAATTATGATGTAGAGCTTTCAGCCTGTTGCTATGCCTCTAGGGTGAGAAAATTACTCAAAGCGATGAAATATATTCCACCTGGAAAAGTCAGAGCTAGCTCCAGAAAAGCACATCTGGTCTTTGGGTTTATGCTGGCTCAGATTGGTGTTTTTCACCACAGCTATAGCACACCATGCCTCCACTATTCACACGGCTTACTTCACTTCCTTGGACTCTCTTTGTCTCTGTCCGTGTTGGAGATGTTCATGTTTTAACCTCTCTCGCAGCTGTAAAGTAGTTTTACAGTATTTATTCTACCTCCAGGTCGATTAAACATTTCAAAACACAATAAAAACATTGCTGCTTTCCTCATTTACCCAAAAGAGGACGCTTAAGAGGTTTTCGTCTTGATGTACATTCGTGGGGTTGTTTTCTCATGGATTAGAGATGTTGAGCCACTATAATAAGTAGAACACAGTAATTAACCTCCTCCAGAAATCCCCCTAGCGACCCCTGGCAATTTGAAGTTCTCAAATATACCTTGTTTGTAAGCGTGTGGTGTACACGGCAAACCGAAATGAACAAGTGATTCCTGCCAATGTAAACAGGACTTGGTTCCCTTAGCCCCCGTACTACTCAAGGGAACCTCAGTGTGATGGGGCGCTGACAATCTGAAGCATAAATAACTGCATGTTGTTGTTACTGATATGATCTCGATGGCGCTGAGAAAGCACATTGAAAAGATTAAATACAGATTTGTTTTAACCGCAATGTAATGATCAGGAATTGTACACGGTGTACAATGTATGTATTTATTGCAGCTTTGTTGTCAATCCTCACCTGACTCCTTTTTACTGTTAAATCTGCATTCATAAATAGTTTTGGCCATTTCGACAACAAGCTGTCAAACTTACAGCTCTTACATAAAGTTGTTGTTCTCTTAAAGTTGTTTTGGCTTATAATGTTAGCATACATTTTCTTCTATTATGAGGCAGAGATTAAACTATTGTCTAAAGAGTGCAGAGGTTAATCCAAAGCCCTTGTGCCTTTGACTCTGAGAAACACTAATTACAAATCCCCTGCACCTGCACCAGTTTCAGCCACACCATGGCAGGTGAAGGGGGTTCGTAATTAGAGTTACTCAGAGGAAAATACTTAAAAAGCATAGGCTAAATGCAATAAAACCTCATAATAAATACATTTTAAAAAGTAATGCTCTTAAAAACTCTATGGGAAAAAATGGAGAACAGATGTAACTTCGACAGGAGTTGAGTTATGAGTTATTATTTTACACAGTGAAGGAAGTTTTATCAAATTTCAATTTTTACACAGCTTTTCTATTGCCACACTTCAAAATGTGTATCAAAGTAAGTAGATGGAAACACTTCTAATTCCCTTTGCCAAACACAAGTCATACCTTTAGAGTTATAGTGAATTTACAGTCTGTTCGTCCACTTCATACCTACCATAAATCCTGTTTCTGCCATTGTTTCTTTGCTTTCTCAGTACTTCTCTCTTGTGGTGACATCTGTTATACTTTGCCCTGTCCGCCAACTGATTCACGGCTCCCCATGTGGAAATAGTTTGACTGCAGGAGGTCGAGCTCTCCATAAGAGGACAAATTATACCAGTCAGATTGAAGGAAATCTGATGTGTAAGTAAAGCATTTAAATTCAGACCTATAAATATCTTATCCTGGATTTTATATAAGCCATATTTTCCTGCTTCATCAGAAACAGCAGCAATTGTACGCTCCAGCTTCAGGTTTCAGAGGTGAAAACAGCGAGTGATTTAGAGCAAATGTTGCGTGCTCATAAAGTTATGAGAACCGGAGGACGAAAGGGCTTTGGGTGGATTCTTGAAGGAAGTTTTTCTTGGAGATGGTTCTTAACATCCCACCAAGCATGTTTCAGCACTGAGGAAGAGATGGTGAAAATATCAAGAAGTCAGCAGATCAGGGCGGCCCGCTACATGGAGCTGAGTTTCTACAACATAACATGCGTCAGACATTAATGTTAGCTGATTCTTACAATAAAATCTTCTGAAAGCTGATGATTTTAGGCATATCAAATGTATTGTTTGTTATCCTAAACTCTTATTTATGGACAACTGTACCCATTGAATTCTACTGTGAACTACAAAATGTTAATCGTATGGCAAATGTTAAAACAACAGGGAAAATTACATTACATTTCATTTAGCTGACGTGACAATGACCAATTACAGGGACATTCTCCCTGGAGTAACTAAGGGCTAAGGGCCTTACTCAAGGGCACACTAGTGGTGGTGTTCCAGGCGGGATTTGAACTCACAACCTTCCGATCTTCAGCCCACCTCACTAACCATTAGACCACCACGATCACAAAATGTAGAGAATCGAATATTTTTAAGTCCGTGGAAGCTTACCTCAAAGATCCAATGGGAGGGGTTAGACATGTGTTTTGAATTAATGTCTACTCCCTTTCCCTCAACAATGGCACGCTGCCCTGGAAGTACATAGGACACTGACTGAGAACGAGTTAAAAAAAAGCTTTATTGAAGTTCGATGCAAGCCAGTCGCATTTCATTACAACACACAGGTTTTCCAAAGAATTAAGTTTGCCTTTTTGAAAGATTTTTATGTGATATAAAAAGTTATTTATGTTTGTTTTATAAGATCTAAAAAACCCTCTTTGGTCATTCCTCTGCTTTCTCAAGTGTTACATTGTTATGCATTGTTGTATTGAATGAGTGATCTGTTAGCCTTCACACCAAAACGTTTCAACATAGGTCGAAGAGAGAGTTACTTTCTTTATTCTTGCGGCAACAATAGAAGCAAACGTTGCACACAATGTAAAACAAAAGTCATTAGAGCGCAAATTCAGAAGCCATGAATTCTAAAACTTGACTTCTTCAATCACTGATCATAAAATGACATATTTGTGAAGAAGATGTTAGAAAAGTCTTCAGAGTACCTGCTCTGAAATGCCAAAAGATTAGAAATCCTTCAATGTCACACTTTAAGAACCAATAAAGTGCCATCCATCTGAACATAATGTGTCAATGTGTACATAATGTAACAAGTAAAGATTTTGTTTCTGTGCCAATATGGGAATGTAAGCCTTTGAGTAGCTCTGACGGGAAACACCATCACTTTAGTCCTTATCCTTGGCTAACAGCTCTATTTATTGCCCAAGGAGGTTTTGTTGGTTTGACAAAAAACATTTTCAACCATGTACATTCAACCAGGCAAGACTTCAATACAGATGTTTTTTTTCATTCCTATTCATATTATCAGCTAAAACAAGTTTTTAATTCTGGTAAAATATCATCATACTGTACATGGACAGAGCTTTTTGTATTCTTTAGCTTCCTGGACAAGGAAACACTCATGAAAAGATGTATAGAGACCCATGTGTTGCATGACAGCAGCTTCCTCCAACATAAGACCATTTCCATTTTCTGTCCAAACGCAGTCTGTTTCTGGCTTCAGGTGCTGTGTCATCTCACTTCTCAACAACAGCTCAGTTCTGTGTTCTCTTATCTACACCGTCCTCTTGGTTCCTTTCTTGTGGCCATGTCATTATATCAGGGGAATTCCCCCTTTAAAGCACAATCCCATTTTTGCATAATCCCATAGAAACTGGATTATTGCGTCCCCAGTCACAATGGATGATTTTCCTTCATCTGGTTAATAAGTCCTCTTGGTACCAGACAGATCACCTCTGGGTCCATCTTCTCACTGCCTCATGGTTGCGGGGGCTGGTCCCCTGGCCCCCTGCAGGGTGTTGACGGGGGCCTGAGGGTATGGCAGGCCTTGAGGCCCAGGGTATCCCGGCTGTCCAGGCGGTCCCACTGGTCCTGGTTTCCCCCGGGCTCCTGGTGGCCCAATGATGCCCGGGAGTCCTGCCTGACCCTGGAGGCCTGACAAACCTAAGGGCCCATTGGCTCCCTCTAAACCGTGTAGGCCTGCGTCCCCTTTCTGGCCCTTCTCACCACGCGGTCCAGGTGGGCCAATAGGCCCTTTATCTCCTTTGATCCCTGCTGCGCCTCTGTGTCCAGTGGGGCCTGTTTCACCCGGGGCTCCTTTGGGCCCGAGAGGACCTTTCTCTCCAGAATTTCCCCGGCCTCCTTGCGGGCCTCGGTCACCTTTAGTCCCACTCAGTCCCATTGGTCCTTTCGAACCGCTCTCTCCACGGTTCCCTTTTGGCCCGGGTGGTCCAGGAGCACCTGTTGAGGGAGGATGGTGAGGTTCAGTTAAAAAGTTAAGTGTACAGAGCTGCAGCGAGCCGTTTAGTGGAGAAAGTGAATACTGCTGCTGAATACACACACTTTACAGAGATGCTGTATGCGAAACCAATGTGACTTTGGAAAATTGCACAGTATTTTTCTATTTTAGTATACCTCAACAATGGAATTATGATCAGTGGAAATGGCCATGACATGGGACCTTTAAATAAATGTTGGTTTGGAATAACCGAATATGGAGCTAAAAGGTTTTTTATATTTATTTATAATTCATTTAGGCTTCCAGGTTAAGTGCATTCAGGGCACTGCGGCTGATTCAGTTCAGATTCTAGAGATAACTAGCAGATTTTTCCACCCCTTTGACCAATTCAGTGCATGAAGAATAGACAGAATCAGCCATGATTTTGACAGCCCTATTCATTTCATATATATGGCAACCACTACCGTACCTTTTATTATAGTGAAGTTCTTTATGAGCGTGGTATGGTGCACATCCACGAGCTTCATCTCCTCCATCACCATGGACAGATTCCTGACGTCTACATCCAGTCGGACATTCAACAACATGTTTTGCTGTCTCAGTGTGTCGGCCAAGTGGAGGAGTAACAACACCGTGTTGTTGAGGTTCTGGACAAAAGAGACGCGTCAGATGTGAGGAGAAAGAAAGACGCAAAGAAGAAAAAACCCAACAAACACAGGAAGACTTCAGCTGTGAAGCATACATAAGGAAGGAAGAAAGAACTCTTTAATGTGTCCTACCTGTAGATCTTCAGCGTGTCGGCCCATGCGGCTCTGGCAGGACGAGCTCTCGATGTTGATGTACTTGTACATGCTCTGGACGTGGCTGACGGTGGCGTTGATGCTGGAGGAGATTGTGTCGATCTCCATGGAGATGGAGTTCAAACGACTATCCAATGCAGAGAAACGCTCACCTGTACGATTCTCATAGTACCTAAAGAGAAGGGTAGCAGAGTCCAGGTCGGTTTTTACATTTCCTGAGCGGA